ATTGCAATTATCAGGGTTTATAGCATTCTCATGTTTACCAAACCGGAATAAACAACGCCAAAGTAAATGAACACCTGTATTCACCAACTGATGATTAATAACATTTATATAATATTGGATGGCTTTAAGTGTGATACAAGAATACATTGCTCGAGCTCGAGTTCAATATTGTCATAGCGAGAGAAATATATAATATATATAATATATATATATGTAGAGGTGTTGTGGTCGAGTGGATACGTCGCCGGACTGTTGATCACAAGGTACGCGGTTCGAGTCCCGCCGCCGCACTAATGTCCTTTGGCAAGACATTGATCTACATTTGCCACACTCCACCCAGGTGAAGTCAATGGGTACCTGGTAGGAATTTATTCCTTGAAACGCAGCGCGCGTAACAGCTGCACCGCTAAAGCCAGGGTAATTATGCTTCATTATTGTAGAGCGCTTAGAGACTTCTGATAAAGTAAGTGTTAGGCGCTATATAAGCAAATATAATTATTATTATTATATTCTAGTATCACACAAAAACGAAGCCATTTACGATTATTATTATTAAACTACATATATCAGGCTGACCAGCGAAAAAACAAAATTTAACTTACCTCGTTAAATATGGCTTTTTTGTGCCAAAGATATTGAATACACTGATTTATTGTACCACTTGGAAGCCTTATATAGATAAAAATCATCTACTTTTCCCTCTTGTTATTGTTCTTGTTCTTGTTCCTGTTCTTCCTCTTCTCTCTCTCTCTCTCTCTCTTTCTTTTTATCGACATTTTATATTGACTATAATTATTATGTAATGTTTTATGTATGTGTATTTCATTATGGCGACCCCATCACAAACTTCTTTCTTCATCCATGATGTTATTGCAAAATTCATTTGTATTCATTTGATTAAAAGAGGGAAATGATTTCAAATCTGATTTAAAAAAAAAAAAATTGGGGGCGGTTTTATTGTTGTGACTGAGGATGAAATCACTGAGGAGCTTAATTAGAGCACTCCCATGATCTAATGGTTTGACTATCTGTCATGGTTATAGTGTCCCTCCCATTCCCTCCCATGCATTCATCCAATCACAGACTGAGGATAACCACAATAATTCGTTGATTAAATAACCCACTTTTGCCCATAAATGGGAATGAATGGGAATGGCCTTGACTGATATAACTGGTGTAGCGCTTCGTTGGTTAGCTGTGTCAATTTCAGTCACAGGTATTTTATATGTCCATCTCTTCCAAATCTATCTCTCTTTAGCTCCCCACTCTCTCTCTCTCTCTCTCTCTCTCTCTCTCTCTCTCTCTCTCTCTCTCTCCGTCTCTCTGTCTTCCTCTCCCTTGATCTACTGGGATGTGTCAGTCATTAGTGTAGCCAAGCCTGGGGACAATTTGACATCCGCAAGGTGCCCCACACAAACAAATATTATTAAAAAACAAATGAAAATATGATGCTTCTTTAATTATTGGAAAGACTTCATAAGCTCTCTAATGCCTCAAACTGGCAGGTTTTTATTACATAAAAATGCAAATGTTCAGGTTCATCCCACAGAAGATGGTGACCTCTTAGTGCCCCCACTGGTGCAGGACCCCATTTGAGACACCCATTGCCACAACACTACGTTTTTGAGGTTCTGGGTGTGTTGACAGGGGTAGAGGCGTGGACCGGCTCCGCCCTTCACTTGATAACCCATGAGCAATCTTATTGTCAAAAGCGGTCATGAGTAGTCCTTAATCATGACATTTAGGCCCTCCCCTTTCCCCAGAATGGAATCGTTAGAGTAGGGATATTGTCAATGTGAGGATACCATAGCTTAAGGGTTCATCGGCAAACCAGTCGATTAAAAGCTCAAGGGCATCGACTCCCTGCCCGGTTCGTGTGTCCAGGCATTTTACCTACATCAGTAACTCTGAACCCAGGTGTAGAATGGTCACCATGCAGTGTTCCTTCCTCTAATAGTGTTCCACACATACTTTAGAAACGCGAAGAGACATTCAAAAATCATGTTAGAGGCGCTGTACACTAACGAACTTTCACCGTTATTTGCTAATTTGTTTTCAATGTTTTAATAATGCGTGGTGCATGCGTTTGTGCACTTGCTGTCAACGGGGCTCAAAGGCTCGATTATGGCGAAAATGCTTTGATAAACATAACAACTCTGATAACAAAATAATAACACACCGCAACTAAAAACAAAGAAAATGATGAGTAATTGCATTAATGTAATAATTCATAATTAGCCACAAAAGGCACTATTTAGTTCAAATGGTATGGCTGGGTGTGGTAGAAATCGAATTACCAATCTGATATACAAATCTGGGGTAAACAACTCGTGAAAAACTCTAGATTAATTTTCCAACAGATCACATGTACTTGCAATCTGTCTCTTTTGGAAGAACTCCAGGAACCATTGACAAGTTTTAAAAAACCGTCATACATGTAAATGTATATCCTATTTTAGGCGAGTTAATTCCCTGCGTTTCTAGAGGATGTCCACAAACTTAGACACGTTACCGTCTCGTGGAACAGGCCCCAGGCTATATGTCAGCTTGTTCGAGATTGCAATCATATTCCATATTTGCTTTGTCCTCATTTCCTTTTTTCTCGATTTACCAGTGACACTGTGGCAAAATGACACTCTGTATGGGTTACACACGCTTTCGAATTAATCAATAACAAAATTAAATATATAAAACTACAAAGACCACTACTAGGTCATGGCTATGAGCAATTTGTCGTATATCTGTGTCGATGAGAGTAACTTTTGTGGAAGGGGAGAAAGGGATAAAAATAGAATAGCAAATTGTGAAAGAGTGTTCTGAAAGGTGCTTTGTGTACCGTACATCCTCAGGAGAAGGCAATAACCTGCCTGCCTGTAAACGGAAAGATAAATGAGGCTTGATACATTGTCATTTTCAAACCAATTCTATGCGCCTCTTTGATAGAAATCTCTTTCAAATCCATCACGTAAGTAAGCGCTCAATGTTGACATTGCAGACGTATTTGTCGATGTTTGACACCATGGCAATGCATTCATTCCCCCCTTCTCACCCCCCCTTTCTTTTTCTTGTTTCCTTCTCTATCTCTGTCTTTGTCTCCCTTTCTTCCCCTGTCTCTCCTTGTCTCTCGATCTCTCTTCCATTTTCTCTTTCTCCTTCCCTTCCATTTTCTCTCTGCCCTACTCCTGATTTTCTCCTTCGCATTCGGTCGTTCGCCATGAAAGTAAAGATCTCTACTCTCCCATTTCCCCCCCTTTAAGAATGCTTGTTATCTATCTCATAATTCTCTTGATTTTTTTCATATTTACTCATTTTGTCTCGTCCTCTGGCGCTTTCAAAACATTGATTGCTCTCCTTTTCACCCTTCCAGACATATATATATATATATATATATATATATATATATATATATATATATATATATAAATATTTATATACATCTATATTTCTCTCCTCATATATACCCCTCCCCCTAAACTATCTCCATTTTCATACCCCTTTCATCCTTTCTTGCATCACCATTTCTCAGGTGATGACATCAGGGCGTATTCTCTATTTAGTCGCCATCAAAACTTTTCACCTGTCATCACTTTTAGTGCATACCGCATGAGACAATAATTTATTAGAAGCCAATAATAGCTGTATTTATTTTTAAAGTCAGATGTTGGTTACAAGATGTAACAGGTACTACATTTTGTGTCAATAGAAGTTCCGCATATCGATCACGAAAAACATGAACCATATTTTCGTTACTCGGTAGAATATAGATACCGCAATAGAGGAAGCATATCGCAATTGTAATTCACGGGGGTCTTGTTTGCGCTGAATAGGTGCAAATATGCCCCCTTGTGTGTTTCTGTTTAGCGTTGGAGGTAATATCGTGTCTTCATGCGTGATTGGAAATAATGAATGGATAGCCAGCCACACTCGCTAAACAATACGCGTTGCTCATGCTTAGTTTATTTTTGCCATTAATCATTGATTCAATATACATAGATCATTTTGAATAAAAATAGAATTGTCAAGCAAGTCAGATTAGCTGGGGGAGGGATACTCTCAGCCTCCCTTAAAGAATATTGAGAGATTTTCTCGGTGCATAGTATGGACTAAAGTTAGGGCCACTTAATTCCAGATATATTTAGAGTAAAATGTATTTCCTCTCCTGCCTCTTTTCAAATATGGTATCCTTAAACAAATATTTACCCAGTGTAGTCGCAAGGAATGTAAGCTCTGTTGATTTGTCAGATTAGATATGAATTAATATCTCACATTCACCCAGTATAATCGCAAAGAATGTAAGCCCTGTTGATTTGTCAGATTAGATATGAATTAATATCTCACATTCACCCGGTGTAATCCCAGAGATGTAAGCCCTGTTAATTTGTTTTCACAAGCATTTCCTCCTACACTGAAAAGTGAACTTATCTTATATAAAGTAAAACTTTGAAAGGTTTGGGCTATATCCTAAAGAATTATTTTAAAAATCTTATCCTGGACTTCCATCGACAACGTAACACACTAAATAACAACAAATTAAAGTAAGATTCTATATGAACTCAAAGTTTAATTTGAGTCCTGAATCATTTGCAACAATAACGATTTGATTCGATTTTAATTGTAGTAATAAATCTATGGAATACTAATAAATAATATTTACTATAGGTCCAAATAATTTCCCAGCAAGGGCAGTTTTGACAATCTATAATTATGCTGAATGTCTCCACGGCTTAAAGTGAATACAGTAAAATACAATGCTCATGTACTGGCAAAGCTCACATCCAGATTACAAACTAATCAGTATCCCTCTTGTCACGACTATATTGAGCTTTTTTTATACTCTGGAATTTCAACAAAAAAGGAGTAACTGTAACTGAAAATCGCATAGTGAGAACCCAATTACCATGAACATTGGTGTACACAGGTAAACGAAAGCAGGGCATGCGCCCACGAGTCAGAGTATTTCGGGGCGACACCCCTTGGTGTTTCGGGTCCATTGACTCCAAACTTGAAAAGTGGGTCTAAGCTGGGCGGATTCACACCATTCCCACGTTGGGCTGCCGAGCAAAGAGGAAGGCGTTACAGTATTCTCTTCTGGCACCGAGGAAGTCTCGTTCTACAGATAAATTCGTTCATTTTTTGAAGAACCTGAACAAAGTGATCTGTCTCTTTTCTCAGACGAAATTTGATCAAGAATACCTTTCATGATGATGTACAGGAAAATTGTCGTCGTCATGCTCTTGGCGACACTTGTATCATCTGGCTTTTGCCAAGGCAAGTATTACCACACTGCTTCCTGTAACTTGAATTTCCAGAAGTCATACCGTAATAGCTTCACACACAATTCGATGTTGTCCTCTATGGCGTGACGTAATAATGAATGTGATGATGGTGCCATGGTGGTGGTAGTGGTGATGGGGGATGGTGCTGATGGTAGATGATGAAAGAGAGGAGGACAAAGAAGAAAATGTTGGGTGAGGGGAAGGATGAGAAGAACAGTGTAAAAGAAGGAGGAGAAGGAGAAGAAAAATAAGAAATTAAAGAGAGGAAGAAGGAAAAAGTGATGGTAACGATGGTGATATGGGGAAGGGGGCAAGGGTAACCATTTGTATGGAATTGCGGTTCTGGTGACACTTTATTACATTAAACATCCAGCCTCTAGAAAATTGTAAGAAAATACAGAACGGCTACTGACTACAGGTATATTGAGAAACAGAATTCTGAGAAAGGAGTATTCTTGACTCGAGTATGAATAATAATAATAATAATAACAGGTTTATTTATATAACGCAGCTTCTAAATAAATATACTCTACTGCGCGTAATACAAATTATCATATCATTACCCAGACTGTAGCTCAGCTACCATAATAAGGCGCTAAAGCATTTAATGAATACATGCATGTCTTGGAATGTGTTGGTATTTAGACTTGTATTAGAGATCCACTCTGGACAAAGATAGGTTTTTTTCTCTCACCTGGGTGGAGAGTGGAAAATGTAGAAGACCAAAGCATTTTCAAGTGGATCTCTAATACGTGTCTAAATACTCACACATTCCCCAGACACACCTTTTCAGTATTTCTGAAATTATCCAGTTTGGTCAACCTCCAAATCATCTACCAGCATTAGTCAAGAAACCTTTCGAAGGTAAAACAAAACGTTCAGTTTTGGTCACTATAGGCACATATGGCCCAGGAGTAAATCTTCTATTATACTTTGTTCGGTGAGGCCGTATCTATTGGCACCATATACAGTTATTTGTTTTAAGTGTTTGCGATATCCAGTTTTTTTGTTTGCATAATGAAATTATATTTTCCATCGTTGATCAGGGGTTGTCTTTAATTTGGGCTGGTCTCTTTTTGCATTCTACTAAGTATTTCCTGTTTGCATCATGCATGGTTTACAATGAGACGAACAATGAATTATGAGTTATTCAAACTTGTACCACGTTTAAACTTCGAACTCTTTGCACAGTTTCAAATGGTTGGTAGAGGATGCCAGTTGTCACACCCGTAAGGTTTCAAACGTAACATTTCATTCTCACACCGAATCATATTTCCATTCTTATTTCTTTACTATTGATTAACAGTTGCACCTATTTAAGGCGGATGTATGCTTGTAGTCATGACAGAGTACCTTCTTTTATCAATTACTATTAAAGTGCAGTGCCCCCAAGCCCTCGAACATTCTGTAGTTTAAAGATAACGTTGAGTTCTGGTCATGCGATTGCATTGTGAAAGAAACGTTGTGGAATCGATCAGAAAAGGTTGATCTTCTAACATATAAGTATTGGTGTGTACTGCAAGGTTCTGGAATCGTCAACATGATAAGAATTTGGCCTAGTCTTGGTAAAGTTACAATCACTGTAGACAGAAAGATTTATATGGGACTACCCGAACATGTGGCATAAAATTCCGTCCCGATTGTTATGATGTTACATGCCATACTTAGAATATTAAGGCACTTGAAGAGCCATGCTTTTCAGGGAACATGTTTTATCTGATATTCTTCCACACTTGCATAATACAATGATAACGCTCACAAATTATTTTTTACTTCTTCCCAGAACTCAACCTTCTCTTTAACAGTCGTTTCTCCTCAGCTTTTGTGGTCAAGCCTCATTTAATGTTCCTAATATAATTCTGCATTGCTGAATGCGAGTTCATTGATGTGATAAAATGTGATTAAACAACATTTATATCCTGATTTTACTAAATAACTGAGTTTCTATTTAAATGTCAAATTGACTTTTAGAAATGACGAAAATAGGTTCTCACATGCACAATCAAAGAATTTTCAACCTCCATGTTCAAGACTACAGATGAAAAGGAATTATTAATTTGCCAAAAGATTTTTGCTAGGAATGATTTAAGAAAGATAAGGAAGTAAAACGAGAATCTCCCGTCTACCCGCTTGCATAGTCAATATTGTTCTCACACGCCCATTGAAATAAAAACAAATATTTGTAGCAAGTTTTCAGTAGGTAATTTACATTTCATGCTGAACGATTCGAAAATACTTTAATATAGTTTCACTCGAAAATTTGATACTGGAACTCAAGATCAGGTTTTAATTGAAGAAAAAGAGAATGAATGAAAAAAAAACGACTGAGGAACTAGAAAGCTTCTGTTGCTAGTTAAAAAAACGAGAGAGAAAGAGAAAAAGAAAGAGAGTGAAGGTGAGAGAAAGAGAGAGAGAGAGAGAGTGAGAGGGGAGAGAGAAAGAGACAGACGGAGAAATAGAGAGGAGCAGGGGTAGATAGATAGAAATAGGAAGGGTAAAGAGATCATCCTGCTATTATTATTTTAGCGAAACATTATGGAACATAACTAAGTTATTAGTACCACTATCCGGGTTTAAATTTCTGTGCCCTTACTAGAAATGCGGAATAAAAATTGTTTTTATTATAGTATAACAGAATGTTTTCATATTTTTTAAATGAAAACTAACATGAAATACCAAATGCTACTTCATCATATCTCCATCAAACACTTGTGAGGGAATGAGGCAAAGTGAGAAAATAGGAAAAGGTCTTCTTTGGTCAGATCAAGAGACGATTTCTTTTCTTGAGGAATAGTGTTATGGGAGAAGGTAACAGGACCTAGATGAAGAACCCTGAAAACCAAGGACCAATGGAAAAGACTAAAGAGGGGTTTAAGAGTGGAAAAGAAAATTTGAGACAAGCAAAGTAAAATCTAAAGCAATAAATATTTGTTACATGGGCGTCAATCCTTACGTAATACCTATTGTTCAGGGGGATGAATGAATAGATCACCCCCCTGAACAATAGGTATTACGTAAGGATTGACGCCCATGATTTGTTAAAATATTGAAATTGCATATTAGAAACACAAATAGAAGTATTACAAGGTGAAACATATGCAGATTAAATTTGAAAAAGAACTGGGGCTTCGTTGCACAAGAGTTGCGACCCGACAACACCTGCGCTCAGTCGTGACTTTCCCGGCATGCATGGGCCAATCAGACGAGATCAAGCGTTTTAGTTGGAACTCTTTCACTGTATGCAGGAACCTGATTGGACAATAGTCTGAGTTTAATGGTACCTGTTTTAACAAAAGACACGCCCCGTTTATGAGCCGCGGAAATCTTAATCAACATGATCATATTCATTTGAACAGTTGAGGTTTGCAAGATCCAACATATGAATCGACCTTTTGGTTGATGTTTTATTTTTGTTTTGTTTTGTTTTGTTTGTTTGGATTTGTTTGTTTTGTAGACACTTATTAATTCAGAACGCTATGTGTTACACTGTTCACTATGTATGATCATTTGTTGATAATACATTTCAATAAAACCTAATAATAATGAAAATTGGGCCTTATTTACCCAGGGTAGCCACATTAATAGGCTATGTATAAATACTGCTAAATATATACTAAATATTACCCTAGCATAACCAGGTAACCATTTACACCTGGGTGGAGAGTGGCACATGTTTTGATTGATCTCTAGCCAAAGAATGTTTGTGCCGGGCTGGTATTCGAACCCTCGACCCTTAGACTGAGATTCATTATACCACGACACAAATGTACCTTACTTATTACCGCCTGATGAAGAATTGTAAAATATATTATTAAAGACATGGCCAGTATTGTGTTACATGGTACATGTCGGAGTAAACTATATCTTTGGTGGACAATCTCAATCCGGACAATGTAACTCTCTTTAGAGGTATCACTTTGTCAAACTAATATAGATAGCCTTTAACACTACGTCACAGGCTGTTAAACCCGAAAAGACCCAAACAAAGAGGACCCCAGTTTAAAAAGCAATTAACCTTAAAAACTAGCACACTTGATATTTATGACCTATAAACGTCACGAATATTGTATTCCATTGAGAAAAAGTAGTTCGGTTTGAACCTACGACCCAGTCGCGTGATACCAAGTGTTATAACCACTTCACTGCGATCTGTCCAGGAAGGGGGTGAGGTGCGAAGGGGGGGGGGGGATTTTGGCAGACTTTGGGATTTGACCCCTAATGCATCCCCAGAGTAATACAATATTTTTAATGAAATTTCACTGAGCAAAGGGCTCTCTCCCCCTTGATATTTGAACACGTTCTTCTGAAGGTTATTTTACCTGACTGCTAAGAAAGCATAAATGCGTGTAAATAAGCAAGCAAGCAGAGGACCCTGGTAATGAGGATTAATGCCTTACCAAAGGGTACTAGCGCATCGACTTGGTTTCGAACCCGGGTCACCGGATTACGAGACCACTGCTCTACAGACTGAGCTATCGCGCCTCCGCACTGGTTGTCTATTCGCAAGCGCATACAGTTTCAGATACTTCTCCTGACATGGAAAGTTGTAAAGGGATTTGGTCTGATGGGAACATCGTAAAATACTTGATTGAGAATGAAGGACCATGACTGAAAATTATCAACGCCGACAAATAAAAGTCATTTAAATTGCACAATGATATATTTATTTTTTGTTCGTCATTTAGCCCGAAATGAATCAACAAGTTACTAAAAATGTACATGTAGTTAAATACTTTGTTTACATTAAACTTTGTGCAGCCTGAATGTGTAAAGACCTTGGGACCGTAAACTTGGACTTGCGGAATTTGTCGATCGTCACAAACCGATGCACACAAGTGCAGATCAATGACTGGTTATTTGCTGTTTATGGTGGTACTCCCACGAAATAATTCCTCTGCTGATCAAGGGTGAAAGCGAAGAAAAAAAGAATAATCTCTTTTATCCAGATAATGGATGTAAAAGGCCATAAACAATCTGATCATACTACAATTCAAGCATGTTGGGAGTTATAGAGCGAGAGAGAGAGGAAGAGAGAGAGAGAGAGAGGTAGAGAGAGAGAGACAGAGACAGAGAAAGAACGAAATAGATAGAGATAGAAACAGAGGGAGACAGAGAGACAGAGAGAGACAGAGAGACAGACATACACAGAGAGAGAGAGAGAGAGAGAGAGAGAGCAAAACAATAAAAGAATGCTAGAAAATGAAAAACGAGCCAAACAAAAATTATATGTGCATAAAGAAAAGACATATTATGGTAAGAGAGAAACAAAAAAAGGGTGTGTGTGAAAGAGAGAGGGAGAAGGATAGAGAGAGAGAGAGAGAGAGAGGGGGATAGAGAGGGGGGGGGGTAGAGAGACTATATATGATAGTACTAACTAAGCAAGATACAAACAGAAGGTAATTATAAGTAGCTAAAAACAACATGCAAGAAAACGGAAAAATATTTTAAAAAAAGACAAAAATCATAAACCCATGGAGATAAATGACCTGAGAGCATCACGCTGGATAGCGGAAGGTCATTTGATGAGTAATAAGTAGGTAAATTTGAACCTTGGGCCATTTATGAGAATCTTTGGTGCTTGGAATAGGTAGTTTTCAAAACAACACAGAAATGCATGAACGGTCTTCCTTTCTCGAGGGTGAAGGATATATACAAATCTATTTTTTTAAAATCTTTTTTTAATTTGAATTACCTTTTCAAATACAGCATGTCAATAAGGGAGGATATCCCTATATGTAGGTGAAGACGTGTCATGCATCGTTCTTCTAAGAATCCTCTATTCTCCTGTTAAGTGAGAGTCGGTAATTCATTGGTTTAATCTAAGGGAGGATACCCCCTTGATAAGAATACGCCCCGAAAAGGTTACATTACTCATACATGCTGTAATAACATTCTTGAGGATAAAGGGGTGTGTGTTCGGTTGTATGGGGGAATGATGCCTTCCACGGCCCGGTAATGTTGATCAGACATCTATATAGGCCGAGGGTGTGGTCCTGTGGTCTATGATAAATTGCTCTAAAAGCCACATAACAACAAAATGGAAGGTGTATGTTGTCATTTTGTTGTTGAAAGAATGTATTAATTGTGACTTTATTGTCTATTAGTATGAATCATATTTGTATTGTTGATATAAGCATATAAATATGCAAAACCACATAATACCCGGGCCATTCTAACCACGCCTTGCAGTGTAACTTTCCTATACACAGATAAAGGGAAGGAGATCCGGGGAAGGTGGAAATAATTAATTTATAATGCTTCCTCGTAGGTATTTCATCAAATAAGCTTAGACAGAAATGGATGCAAAAAGAGAAAGAAATAAAAGTAACTTGACGTGCAGGTGAAAAGCGTTTGAAATTTGCGCATTCTTAGTACAGAACTATAGTTTTCATTTGATGTTTTCTCGTCTGATTATGAGATATAGAAGCTCTAACTGGATATAAAAGCAAATGCTTCATTACGGGGATTATCTAGAAACACGACTCTAATCTATGCATGGTAGATCGTATTCAATCTCGTTTTTACTAGGTTGGCATAATTGAATATAAAAAATCCCTTCCATGACAAAAGCGAAAGATATCTCTAAGGAATCAGCCATATTAGTGGGTGATTGTTCTCTCTTCTTCTTCTTTGTTCTCATACAGCCTAATACATTCCTCCATGAGGGCGGACTGAGCTTTCTTTCAATTTTGTCTTCGGCGCGTGTAATGAATTTGAACCAGATAGTAATGAAGAGGTCCATTGAAGCTCGAATAAACTGAAATACATCCTTTAAACACAAACAATACTGACAAAATCCACGATCGGAAAAAGTCAAAAGAATGAGCGAGATATGCATTCAGGTCGCTTCCCCGTCAGCGATGATTGCGTCAAACGAAGACAAAGGATTATATGAACATTGGCGCCGGAATGGTGTGACAGGAATGCATCATGGTCTAGTAGTAACATATACAGTGCGTCCCAGAAAAAAAAACGAAACCGAGAATTATCGATGTTTTATCATAATTTAATCACAATTATAATCAATAAATGACACTTATTTGTAAAGCTTAGCTCCTCTTTCATTTGATGCAACTCATTATGACGCATATTTCACGCTTGAACGATTAAAAACAATTTGGAGAGAGGGTACCAAAAAGTAATTTGGCGGGCGGTATTTGAATTTCAAAGAGAAAATCACATTTCTATAAATATATGACAACTCAATCAGGAAAAATGAGCCAGGAATAACAAAGTTCTGTCGGTTTAAAATAATGCTTGCATTTAATAATAATATTTAGCTTTTATATAGCGCTGAGTACAATGTCTCTAAGAGCTTTACAAATATACTATTACCCCGGTCATTGGATTCAGTGCTTGCCCGCACACACTGTGTGCACAATCTCCACTCCCTGGGGAGCATTCCTGCTAGGCGTCACTTAACGCTCAAAACTGTTTGACCAACAAATTTGATCAAACGAATTCGTTTTCACTAGCTGCCTGCCGTAGCAATAAACAGAGTTGACAAAAGACTTAACTCCATTTCGTTGACGATCAGCCATGCATCAAGTCTTTTGTCTTCTTTTGATTCATGCAAGAAATGTGTGGCTTTCTTTATGTATTGCATATACTGATGATCTTTGCTTGTCAAACAAAAAGGATACCTAACTAGATAATGAATGAAAGCATGATTGAATGGATAACCGAATAATTAAATGAATTAATGAATGAATAAATAGGTAAATAAATATATAAAAAAACCGGGTAAAACGGATTGTCGGCTTCCTGACATCTCCGTACTTCGCGGACAGAGAAAGGACTGATATGGAGTAGGTCAAACGGTTCCATGCAACGACCCCAGGTGACCGGTCGGTTCGTTCGTGATGGTGTCGTCTGGGGGTCCGTTGAGTTTCATTCCCACTATTTCCCACCCCTGTTGGTTTCGGACCTGTTTCATTGTTGCCTATTCCTCTTCGTAGTTTATTTATTTCGTACTCTCTGTCACTTAATTGTTTTTAATGATCACAGTTGTATTTTGGCTCATAGGCATTTGTCAATTCCATGTTATGATTGTAATTGAATTGATCCAATTGATCAAAAATTGAAAAAAAATCAAAGGGATTTTAAATATACATGTATATATATATATATCTATTTAATGACCCTTTATTTTGCATTCACAGACTGTTCCTCGGATCCTTGCGAAGATGGTGCTCCTTGTGTCAACGCTACTTTGGGATACTACTGTCAATGTCCAGTTGTTCCTGTTTCTGCTTCATCGTCATTTGAAACTGTTTACTCTGGACAGAACTGTGATGAATCATTTACTGGTAAGAAGTGACTCAGAAATACCTATATGTATTAAGGGTCAGTAGTTTTCTTGCGATATCTGTAGCCTTAAACTTAAAAGTAGTAACGCATTGCTAAACGTCGATTTGATTAGAATATTTGAATCAGGGTGGCCCACTGGCGGATCCCTATGGGGCCCGCCCCCCCTGGAAAAAAGCGTATAAAAACACGTTAATTCTATTTTTTGGAGATGCCCCCCGCCCCCCTGGCGCTCAAGGTGGGGTGGGGGGGGGGGGGAGGTGCGATGAAAAAAAATCGAGGAACCCCCCCAAAATTAGTGCTCACTACCCTACACTTGCCCTAGGGGGTAGTTGTCCTAGGGGTTGTTGACTGCGGGTGGTTATCCGGGGGTGGATGTCAAGGGGGTAGGTGTCCAGATACGGTCGTCAATGTATGCAACTTTTTTATCGGTTGTCGTCACTCTGTTAGTGACTTAGGGTTGCATCGGAATAGAAAAGTTCGATCTATAAAATAATATCTCTTTTTTTAATATTTTAAATTCTTCGCAGGGGTCGCTGGATGCAATATCAATTACTACGACAGTGAAGGGAATATCACGAGTCCTGGTTACCCAAATGATTACCCAAATCTTCAGGATTGCTACTCTCATCTGAAAATCGCAGATGCAACACAAATCACGCTCATCCTAGAGGAATTCAATTTAGAACCACAGGTCAAGGACACCCTCCTTTTTGGAAAAGGTCCCGCAATCTATGAAGTAGATCCCATGCAACCTGACATTTATGAATTTGGTGGAGACCTCACAAGCTTACCTCTGAGCGAAAGGACATATGTATTCAACGACACAAACCAAATCTTCTTCTACTTCTACTCGGACAAAAACGAAGTCTATCCGGGTTATCGCATTTCCTATACGGCTGGTAAGAAAAAGTTCTCGTTATTTTTTTTCCGTATTAATTTTTGTAAACGATTTGTATTTATAGTTTTTATCCTTATCGGTGAAATGAGAATGGCTCTTTGATCTATGCAGGGCCCGTGAATGTATTCCCAATATTAATATTAGTAATGTAAATTTATTGTGATAATTTCACGTTATGTTAAACGATACGAATTCCTTAGTCTTTTTAAAAATCTTTAATGTACAGAAATGCTGCTCAGTATTATTTCAAATTTATGTCAATAAATGTACAGGGACAATATTCAGAAGTATCTGCCTTATAATATTCTTTGTGGTTGATGTAAGATGAAGTATTGTTTACTTTCATTGCCTAAAAAACTGAAGGATGATAGGGGTTTGGTCATGGTAATTAATTTCATCTTACAGCCAGTATGGTTGTAAATGCAAATAGGTAGGCAACCAGGATATATGCAGTCCCTTCCGAGGGAACCGCAGTTCTCCAAATGGACCAACACGCATCCTTTAGGTGATGACAATTATTACACCGTCCACTCGTAACGTATTTTTTTACAAACAAAATTTATCTTTATTATGTTACACAACACGATTTAATCGACGAAATAAAATCACTAGAAAGAGAGATAAATGAATTGATAATTTAATAAATTAATGAAATAATAGGTACATATTAATAGCTTTCCTGTTTGTCAAAACATACATTGTATAATGCATTGAGAATTCACATTAATAAATGTTATTCTTTCTTTATATTTTCACCAAGATATTGATTCGTGTGTGTCTGGACCATGTCTTAATAACGCAACTTGTATGGATGAATACTATGACTACTCATGTATTTGTGCGCCTGGGTATACCGGTAGAAACTGCGGAGTCGGTTAGTATATATAAACATTTATTCTCATCATCTGCATTTAAAATTTATATCGAAAATTGTTTTTATGATGGCTACATGGATAATATACGATATGTTTACAAGGTTTCTAGGATTAAATATAGCAAGGTCGAGGTGTTATTCTTTCCGAGTCACCACACGAGCCTGGTCATGTGGAGGACGCTGGGTCTGCATGACCTTGGCGTTAAAACCATCTGGCATGTTTATTCGGTAAAATATTAACCAATTTGGAGTCGGTTTTACCCAAGTCGAGTACACTATATCCAATACTGAGTGACATTTTATCCAACAAACATGCACGTTCCCTTTTCACCAAAAATTGGGTAATACTTTATCGAACTGTTTTAGAACGAAAAGCAAAATGGGTGATCTAAATACCGCTATAAGGCTGTTGTAGGTAGGCTTGTACTGCCAGATGACACGTCAATGACGTCCAAGGTCACGTTCAAAGTTCCACTTTACCTCCGCTACAATCACATAACGTTTATGCCAGCAAAGGGGAACATATAACAAGTCCCCCTTGGATAATAATAATTATAATGATAATAGCAGTAATAGTAGTAGTAGTAGTAGTAGTAGTAGTAGTAGTAGTAGTAGTAGTAGTTATGTAGTAGTAGTAGTAGTAGTAGTAGTAGTAGTAGTAATATTAGTAGTAGTAGTAGTAGTAGTAGTAGTAGTAGTAGTAGTAGTAGTAGTAGTAGTACTACAAACAATAATATCATTAAATACAAAATAAACCGTTCTTGTATAGCACATATCATATTATGATAGAACGGACCAATGCACTTCCACAGAAGTTTGGAAATGAATATCCTTAATTCTGGCTCTGGCAGCCGTAATAAGCGTACAGTGCATTTCAAGAATTAAATCCTGCAAAGTGCCCTTTTTACACCTAATGGAGATTGGTAAATGTAGATTGATGTATTGAAAATAGACGAGAGAGCCGAGCTGTGATTCGAACCCTCAACTCTTTGATTGAGAGTCAAGTGAAATGAACCATAAATGAACCACGGCACCTCCATAAGTAGATAGGTAGACTATGCCTTGTCAGGTGACCTCTTATGAACAAGTTTTGTTGCATGATCCTAATTTGTATGCGGGGAAAACGTTAACCATTTTCTAGTGCTCTATACTTTGGATAAATATGCCCACCATAAACATAAATCACGCATGTTTTATTCCCAGATATCAATGAATGTGGCTCCATGCCGTGCGACAATGGTGGGAATTGCATGGATCTTGTTAATGGACATTTCTGCGATTGCCCTATGGGATTCAGTGGTGATTACTGTGAAATTAGTAAGTACGCCATATTCGTTGCTCAGGAGGACCCTCTAGTAGTCCCAAATGGATTATACGACATAAGCCCTAGTGAAAATTGCTCTGTTACCCCTCTTTGTTAAACATGTTATTTATTGTCATAACAGATGACAATTTGGACAAGTCATTGGTAAATGTCTGGCATAGCTGGCTGCGTTCGCGTGACGTTAGTGTTAAAAGAAATATCTTCCCATGCACTAAAGACAGGTGTTAATTCCGCGCAATTTACGACAACTTATCTCAATTCTTTTTTTCCTACCATGAAATTCATCGTTTTCAAAAATACGGCCCCTGATTTTCACGACTGCTCCAATAGCCATTGCCAGGCTTTTATACATTTAAAGGAAGTATACCTACTTAAAACATGTTGGTCTCGAGCGCCGGGTAAATGTAGACCCTTTAAAAGTCTAACTAGAAAATTTGGACTTAAAAATACAGGTAAAGTCACTCATTTAGGTAGTATTTTAGATCAGTCTCTTGATAAAGGATATAGGTGCTGAACATGTACTTTGGCTGGAACCCACTGCTTTGAAGTGCTTTCGTTTCCACAGCCAAGTATCTATCAAAGGAAAATATGAAATTTTACTGAGCATCTCGAGAGAGAGTTATGAGTGTATCGACATTTGGATTTTTATAAGACACCAACAAAAGCTATATAGTAACATCAATAAGCACCCCGAGGAAGAATAATTCAGTAGTATCATTCTTAATATTTGTTGATAACCCCCCCCCCCCCCCTCGAAAAAAAGAAAGAAAATCCGGTTGCTTTCAATGACTTACCAAAATTTATCACAGAATTACTTACACTAACACTGGGAAGCGTATCATGGTGCCAAAACAATGCGTGAATATTAGTAAAAGAACGCGTACGAAAATAAAATAGTCTATCAATATTTGTGTGTATCAGTTTGTCATTTTCTTATGTAAATTAATTTTCCAACCACTTTCTCTTTGTAGATAGCACTTTCTCTGCATCCCAATTTGTTTTTCATCTACTATGGTATCCTTATCTATATCTGACTCACCCCCTCCAAACATCCTCATTCCTGCTCTTAATATGGTGTTGGTTTTGTTTTGGTAAACAGATAAAGATGAATGTATGGCTACTCCGTGTCGGAATGGGGGTTCGTGTACTGATGGTATAGCAGGATACACTTGTACCTGTGCACCAGGATGGGACGATCCCAATTGTCAAACAAGTACGTACATGCATTAAAATTACTCTACCCCTTTTGTAGGGTGTAAATATATAGTGATATATGAAAGAAGATGACTTTTAGGGTCCCCTCTCCGAACTTTAAGAATTGAACTTCGCGAAATTATTATTAAAGATAAACTTTAGTACTGGTAATGCGATTGCATTGTGAAAGAAGAGGTGTGGGAAGGATCAGAAACAGTTGATCATGTAGCATGTAAGTATTGGTGTGCACTGCAAGGTTCTGGAGTCATCAAAATCATAATAAATTTGACCGAGTCTTGGTAAAGTAAGAAGCACTGTACACAGAAAGCTATATATGGGACAACACGTATGGTGTCGGGGCTAGTACTACCTTGATTTCCTTGTCTTTCTATGCTCATTACTCAGCCAGTATACATTTTTTTCCAAAATTGTTTGGCACATGTCATTTATTTGTAATCTTGAACATTCAGTGTAAGTTTCGTTTGATTATGTGAAAATTAATTTTCTTTTTTTTTACCAGAACTGGAGTTTATCTTTATGTTAGATTTAAAATGAACTTTTGGCAGGCCGCCCATACCACATGGATGTGTTACATCAAACAAAATCATTAATTCTGCAACAAAACCGATTTTATTCATTTACATCATCCTCGGTAACGGTCTCCCAGCTAGATTTTCTCCTCATAAAGCTGTAACGTGTTGGATTTTTAATTTTTTTCAAAAACATAAATGCGTTCTAGGCCTTATGACGTTATTGGTTCATACGCGTTCTTGCTGAAGTACAGTGTGTATATGGTGATCTTTGACAAGTTTTATGGTGTTTTTTGTTGTTGTTGAAAAAATAACAAAATGCGAACCTTTCCCTATCTCCACTCTGATGGTGTGCCCACTTGGGTACAGTAAAGGGGAATTCAATCGTAATAGCAAGTTGCTCTGAAGAAATGCTGAACGAAACCGGACAAACAACGAGAACATGGGCTTAGTAACAACGAACGATTAAATAATACTTTATTTATTTGTATGCTGATTTAAAGGGATCTGGTAACTTTGTCTTAGATTCTTTAAAAAATCCTTGATTTAGCTCATGCTGCAATGATAATTATAAACCTTTAGATCAGTCAGTAACCCCACGACTTTAACAAGCCGATCGCCTGTCTGATTATCAAGATATTTATGATTGAAAATCGAAATCAATTTTTGCTTTTGCCAAACGGTTTCCATAACACTGCAGTCTATTGGGAAAACGAATATGGAAGAACCCGTCACTCAAAGGTTTTTACCCTTTTGAGGCACTTCTTGATCATTTTGAAGCGCATTTTTTTGTAGGGCTTCAATATAACACCATATCACAGACACTGATAACACGTAGGGCCGTGCATCTCAGATTTAAAATTGTTAAACGATCCCTTTAAGCATCATTCATCCAATCGGATACCTGAAAAGTAGGTATTGTCGGGACACACAAGTCTATTTCATGCAACATAAAATCAGGCCAATCTTGCCTCAACTGAAACATTATTAGATGCACAACAAAAGATTATCATAGTTGGATTTCATACTGCTCTGTGGGTCATATAATTGTCAAAGAAAACATAACTTTTCATGTCATGCACGTAACCGACGTTCTATCTCTTACTTCTAAAACTGAATAATATAAGGATTATCACGATGTATTATTACTATTTTTATTCACTATCCAGATATTGACGAATGTGATTCTCAGCCCTGCCTGAACGACGGAACATGTACAGATGAAATTAACATGTACACATGTACCTGTGCAGCAGGATACACGGACGAACAGTGTCAAACAGGTGAGAGCTGGATTCAACAATATGTCATACATATCGTTTCACTATGATAGACTACTTTATACTAGAAAATTCAAAGAATCAAGTAGGGGGCAGATATCTGATAAGATTAACCAGGACAAATAACGAAAACTTCTTTTGGATTATGTGGTAAGGTAGAACGATATTCATCAAATCTTAAACTTTAAGTTATGGATATTTCAGAAAGCGTCTGCATATTTCCCGTAATAAAGCCAAAGTCAATCTTGCGTCATATTTATTTGATTTCAGTTGATACTGTATGGGAACAAAAATTAGAAGGAGTGAGGTGAAACGTAATTCAGATCTTTATCCGTGATTTCAGTTACTTGCCCCATGCCAATATTTGTTTTAACTGTTTAAAAAAAAAAGTAAATTTAAGTAATGAATCCTGATAGAAGAAACTCTCTGGCTTTTGCCGAAGGACACAAGTCGTGGACCATGTGGGTAGAAGTGACAACGTAACAAACACTTGACTGTATTAGTTCATAATTCATATTTAGGCGCCATCCATATCATATTTTGATTTACTGTTGAACAATATTGGCCTAAATGAGTTATTTGATATTCAGGTTGTTTGAGAAAGGAAATCTAAAAAAAGACATAGACATGATGTTTTTCAAGAATATATATGATAACATTTTCAGGTCTTCACAGATTTCATTTACGATACACCAGTTTGTTTATAATTATGTTTCTTAGTTTTGTTTGTTTGCTAGGATTGTGTCATGTTAGATATCGACGACTGTGCGACCTCCCCTTCTCAAATAATCATATTGATAGATAGGTACATAAACAAATGAATAAATGCTACAATAACAAATAAACAAAACAAAAAACTTGCAAAATTCTCGTTTTCCCCGTGTGAGGAATATTGTAGCAAATTCTTGTCAAAAGTGATCATAAGTTCGACACATATTATAAAATCGTGTATATTGAATCGTAAGCAATTAGATACCACCCCTCATGCTGGAAAATGTTTAGGGTGGAGTGTTCAGCATTATTGTGGTTTACATTTTGTTTAATTACTGCTTTTCACTTTTCAGATATTAACGAGTGTTCTTCCAACCCTTGTGAGAACGGGGGTGCGTGTACCGATCAGATTGCAATGTACACATGTGACTGTGCAGCAGGATTCATGGGTGACAATTGTGAAACGAGTAAGTGTTTCCTCCTTCGATATTTGAGGATTCACTCCGTCTTTCACTTCAAATAGATAGTTTAGTTGAGTTCAGGAAAATGTGAAAAGTAATTTGTGATTCTTTTTGTTCATTCTTTGTTTGTTAGTATGGAAAGATGCCAGGGAGCAAATGTCCTCTAACTGACAAGGGTGGCTATTCAAATGCCCATATATTCAAAATATGAAAAAGGATAGCTTTGAGTAATCCTTTTTCATTGTGGTCTGATATAACGGAATCCTCAAAGTCAGAAAATACTAAAGTATTTAGTACCATCTTCCTGAAAATCACAGTGAAAAGCAAAGATATTTGTGCAGTATTTACTTTTGTTGCAGAATAAAGTAAATATATTACCAATATAGCCGGATCTGCATAGATTTCTGAGAAGAAAAGGAGTTGTGTGAGCTTGCAAGGCTTTCGAATGACAAAGAAGAAGCATATTCTGCATATATCTGATCATGAACCAAGTGACCGATTTCATGTCCTTCTCTTGATCTGTTCCAGACATCAACGAGTGTATGAGTATGCCGTGTGAAAATAGTGGTACTTGCGTGGACGGGATCAACAATTACGTCTGTATCTGTACAGACACCGGGTTCGACGGAACCAACTGCGACAACAGTATGTACCAATTTTGTTTTTACTTAAAACCATATCAATATAAAGATTTCTTGAAGTAATAATAATGATGATCATCATAATATGATAATAATAATAATAATAATAATAATAATAATAATAATAATAATAATAATAATAGTGATAATAATAATAATAATAGCAGTAATAATAATAGTGATAATAATAATTATAATAACAACAATAATGATAATAATAACAAGTATCATAATTTGTTTGCCCAGGGAAGCCTTATCTTATCAGCATAAAAGCTGTTCTAGCTGGGGCCGTACAAGTATGATTATCAATTGTCAGGTACCCACTGACACCTGAGTGGAGAATGGCAAATGTCGATTAATGCCTTGCCGAAAGATGCTAGGGTCGGGCTGGGATTCGAACCCACAACCCTTAGATTGAGAGTCAAGTGAATGAACCAATATGCTTAGACTTCTGTAGAATATTTCTTTTAATCCTGTGGTGTACGTCAACATCAATCCATCCAAACCATTTTAATAGATCATTATGGGATTCAGCGTAAGATTATTGTGCAAAAATATCAGTATAGGGGACAGCTGGTTATGCCAGCAGTCTTTGTATTAGAAGACTTGTATTGGCCCGCTGCTCTTCATATAATATTTGATCTGATTTGATGTTTATTATACATCAACATAATTATTAACAATCTTATACATTTAGATGTATGAAAATTACATGGTGTATACAGAAATAAGTCGTCTTAAGCATAAGCTAAATATTCTACTTATCTATTGTAAGTTATTGAAAACATATAGTCTACAACAAAGCTTTGAGTAATATGGAACCAAAAATACATTTCCTAGGTAAGTGATGAATATAATACATTCACATCAATAACAGGAGAAAAAAAATCCCACCAAAACAAACAAACAAAGAAAACGAACGAACCCAATACAAAGAATTAAGCAAAAAACAAAGCAACATGTAATTTTATGACGGTTTTCTGGAACGAACACTTTACACGCCGCGTAAATTTGTTATTTTGTTATTTTGTCAACATAGTTTGAGGAAAAAGAAAGATCACGATAAACCTTCTTTTTAAAAATTGGTTTGCTGTACGCATGATTGTTCTGATATTTTATTTATTTGATCTCATTTGCCTTAATATTTATCCATTCTTGTGAAAAATTATATTTGTGGAGGAGTTTTTGTTCTTTTTAAGTCTAAGGCATTTATTTAAAAATGTATATCATATCGAATGTTAAATTATTATGTATTGTATACGTATCTATTTTTAAAAATGCATATTATTTCAACTTGAAATGAATAAAACACTTGAATTGAAATGATTCATGGACAATACAGGTTCCGATATTATATGTAGAGCTTAATTTATATGGATTTAAACAAAAATTGTGGGATAGTGAAGATTTATAATGTGATTTCAGTCATTTGGGATGGATTTATGGAAGATCGTATCCGACCAGAAAAATAAGTTACCTTACCCAATGTGACTTTCGTACTCTTTTCACCTAGATATTGATGACTGTGCTAATAACCCGTGTGAGAATGGCGGTACATGTACGGATGGGATCAATGATTACAGTTGTACTTGCGAGCCTGGATACATCGGAGACGACTGTGAAATAAGTAAGTATGTTTGGTGTATGCATGTGTGTTTTCATTGATATATTGCCTATAAAGATACTAGGAATATGATAATTTCTAGTTACTAACTGCTGGACAATATATATGTATATATATATATATATATATATATATATATATATATGTGTGTGTGTGTGTGCGTGTGGGTCTGTCAACATCAGTCTAATCTATGGGGATCTGCGAACGACTCACAAGATTGTCGAACATTTGAGCTGTTACATTATGTAATTGTCTAAATGGCTTTACATGCCTGGATCTTGGCTTATCATTTTTGTCTCTCAAGCCAATAGATGAACTCTGATGTAAATAATAAGCGCGTGCTTGTCTTATAACAACCCTATTCTTCTCTTATATTTTCACTATCAAATAGACTTCAACGAGTGTGGAAGCACACCCTGTCAGAACAACGGAACATGCATGGATGCAATCAACAGCTACACGTGTGACTGTATGGATGGATGGACCGGTCCGTTATGTAATGAAAGTGAGTATCCAAAACTCTAGGAATCATCTCACCGATATATTCTTGTGATATGAAGCTCTCATATGAAGTTTAAATATAAAGCTGAGTACTGGCCATGTAATCACATTTTGATAGAAACTGTTCTGGAAGCTATAGGAAATGTTGCTTATGTAGTACATACAAATTGGTGTGTACTGTGGAGTTTCGAAATGTTAAAAAGGATAAGAAATTGACTACGTCTAATTGTTGATGGCATGCACCGCACGAAAAAAATGGTATATGGGACTACGCACAGGTGTTAAGACCAACATTTTCAGCTATCTTTTGTCTAACTCGATTCATTAGGAATTTTAATTGGAATCCTTTTCATAATGCTTTTTCACTATCATGACTAGTTTGAAATCCTTCAAAAGCTGACGTATAAAGAAAGAAATAACGTTTAAGTTACATCACCAAACAGATGAACCTCTCTGGCGATTTAATGAGAAAGATATTATCATATCCGATTGATACACGTCTGTATACAAAATCACTCAAATACGGTGGTGTAGAAAAGGGCTATATCTGAAGGGACACCTGCTTTTCAGTTTGCATTCCCCCTCTTCCATTTCTCTCGGGTTTTATTTTTTCGTCATCGCGAATCGATTTGCAGAGCCAAAAGCACATAGATATTAGTGTAAATTTACTACTTGACATGTAAGCAACCAAAATATGGATTCGTGAACCATACCATGATCTGGGGGTGTATGAGTCGTGTTCACGACTTATGGAAAGGTACAAATACTTCACTGGTTTTGCACTCGCGGACCTTCAATTCCTATCTAACCTTCCTGAACGAATGTCCTTCTTGGTTATGGCTATTACTGTGATGCCCCGATTGTATTTCCTACCTTCTTTGACTCTTTAAGTTTTTTTTCTGTCTTTGCCATGAAATTAAATGGTTGAATAAATAAATCTACATTTTGCTTTCTCTTCAGATATTGACGAATGTGCTAGTAATCCTTGTTCTAATGGTGGAACGTGTGATGACGGAACCAACGAATTCAGCTGCCAATGCGCTCCTGGGTGGACCAACCTTACATGTGAAACTAGTAGGTCATTGTATTGTTACAAGAAGTACCATGGAACAGTCGAGCCTTCTGTAATGCCAAGTTCTATATTGAGTATACCTCTGTCTGTAAAGGGGACTTTATAGTCTGCTACTTCCTGAGGTGCAATACAAATTGCGCATACTTTATTCAGATAATGCAACATAATGTTACCTCGGGCCCATTCATACTAAACGTTGTGATTGATTAGTTAGTATTAGGCGTCGGATTATGATTCCTAACCGAACAACGTATTAAGCAACAGGTACATGGCGATACGTATACCCCCCCCCCTCCCCTCAACACAAACATGTTTCATATCTTGTGTTTAAAAGATATAACTTGCGCCCTCCCCATGTGCGCAAAGACAGTACATATAGACCAACTTGGGATAGCTGTATTCATTTATTTATTTATTTAACTATTTATCTATTCCTTTATTTATATAATTATTTGGGTTCTTTGCTTGTCGTAGAACTTGCACGGCTGACAAGCCCCCGCTCCTAAACACGACTACTAGGGAACGAGTTGTCAGCCACTTATTGCCACCACTGCATCTTATTCTGTCGCTCTCCAACATTAAGACGCCTTCCCGAACAGTAATACAATTATCTAAGAGCAGTCTCTCAAATGTAAATCTTCCATCTTCATCGCAATGAAGAAAGCTATAAGTGCAATCATTTGCGCATACTGTCGTCTTTAGAAGAATTAAATCCTAGTTTTTGTAAAGATGAAACCATTTCATTACATAATAATGTTTGTCTTTTCAGATATCGATGAGTGCGAGAGTGGCCCATGTCAAAATGGCGGTACGTGCTACGATGAGGTAAATGGCTACACATGCATGTGTCCCGTAGGTGCAAATGGTACAAACTGCGAGATACGTAAGTACAATATTCCTCTGTGTTCAACAATACATGGTATCCACAGCAAGTGACATTCATGCAATCATTTACATAATTGTGTCTTAGCATTCCACAATCCTTACAACTAGCCACTACCCCAGTCTTTCCCAGGTGAATCACGAACGGCATATTCAAAAGTATTTTTTCAGTCTCACCTGCGTTTTGGTATTAGGCAACTGTATACTTCTGATCTGCAAATCCCCAGATTGGATTGGATGTTTCTCTTTTTGATTTTACAATGAACTGTAATCATGGGGTAAGAAGCATAGACGTATAAGCAACCAATTGTTTCTGTACATTGATAAAACGTTCTTCGTCAGTTTATAATACAATTCGCTCGTAAGTATGATTAAAAGTGTTATTCTTCCTTGTGAAGTTACATCTGCTTCAGTAATCATATAATATATTATAACTTATTATTAGGTACTTCAGCAACATTTGATTTTCCTATCAACCATTTATCAAATTGATAAAAAAACGAACTTTACGGATTAAGTTTTTTTTTTTTTTTTTTTTTTTTTTGGGGGGGGGGTTATTTTAATGTCCAAATTTTATGTACCTCATTTAACTTTAAACACCATTTGATTTAATTTGTACATTTCTTATTAAATTGTACACAATATTCTTATTTAACCAAAATAAAATTTCTCAGATAACGTTTGGAATGGACAGCCTGTCGAGGTGCAACGAGATGACACTTTATGACCATTTGTACATGCGTCAATACCACTGTCTGTGGCAACAATGGACTAGGGGTTTATTCCTTGGTTCTTTGTTGTGATAATCAAAACAAATATGTATATTATATATTGATTTTAATATTTCGAAATCCAATCCCATTTTAGTTGCGAACGCCTGTATGAGTGACCCTTGCGCAAACGGATCTACCTGCGTCAATTCCGGAGTTGACTTTATCTGTATATGCGCACCGGGCTTTGAAGGGGATCGTTGTGAATCGGGTAAGATATAAAAACATGTTAAATACTTAGGTAGAATCAGGGTGTCACCGAAAGGGGGCGGGGTAGGGATGAAACGCAAGTCTCTGTAAAACATTGTCGGAAGTTGTAGCTTTGAATTTTTTTTCTGCTTTTGAATTTGGAGTTTGGAGTATTCTTCTCTTCCTCATTTTCCTCCATAACTTCCTGCTCCGCTACCCCTTCCTCTTCTTCTTCTTCTGTTGCACAACTTTCTCTCTCTCTCTCTCTCTCTCTCTCTCTCTCTCTCACACACACAGTGTCCATTGTTTGGATGAAGTAGGGCAAGCTCCCCCCCCCCCCCCCGTTCAGAGAGAATTCGGACACTATATCAAAATATCCAATCCAAAGCTTTTAGATTTCGAATGATACTACAATCTGAACGTTTATATATTGAAACGCGATATTTTACTTGCTTATTTTCCTGACCTACGACATGTGATAATTCATATAATCTGTTTATTTGGCAATCATTTTGGAAAAATTGAATTGCACTGCCATGCAAAAGGGCAGACCATTATTTTTGGTTTCATAATATGTCCGACAAAGTGAAGTTGTCTCTTTCTTATGACGTTTAGGAGGGATCTATCGACACATGCCTTGTTTAGCACTTCTGCATCTTATATCCTGTCGGTCTAAGGTATCCTAATCATTCTTCTTAATAACAACATTTCTGCTGCTTGAAATTTGCTGTCCAAGATTTTATTTCACGTCCAGCACTTGCAGCCGTACAGGAGGACGGACCATACGTAGCACTTCAAAGTACCCGGACTTTAGTGATTACTTTTACTTTTAGTGATTACTCCTCTGCCCATTTCCCAGGCCAAGGCCGAAGTCTGCATGCGCCATTGTGTGCAGCTAAAGTGTATATGTAGACCGGGGTTCTGAAATTGGACACGTTGATCAATTTCGATTGGTAGACGATGAGAACTTTATAACAATATTTATTCCTTTATTTTGTGTTCTCTCCCCTTTCATAGAGCTTCTATCGGAGTCGCACCGATGAAAATACCGATAGAATTTTCCTTATAGATAGAAAGAAGAAAAATCGGCGATTAAAAATTTGATCGCCTATTTCTCTTCTTTTCATCGGCTATTCTATCGGCTTTTCCTCCTCTGTACCATTCATACTGGCCATTTCATCGGATGCGTCAGGATGCATCCGATGAAAATCAGGCCAGTTTGAAAGGGGTATGATCATTTTTTTTTAGAAATCAACGAGTGCCTCAGCCTACCGTGCCAAAATGGCGGTACATGCACAGATGGACTGGACATGTTCACATGCGACTGCCGCTTCGGATACTCGGGACTGATCTGCGAAATATGTAAGACTTATTTACAATTCTAAAAAGTGCTTGTAGAGCTGTTTGCTGAGTTGACAGTAATAGACCAGTTCTTATGTATCATTACGATACAAACGACCCGAAAGACCCACAGATACTTTAAAAATGGAGAAATGCCACTGTACCGAATGCATTTTAGAACAAGAAGAAAATCACTCTCAACGTGATGAACATGCTTCATGAAAAATTTGTGACATTACCTTTGAAAAGAATGATAATGACGTCATACCTATCTTATTATCATTCAATCAAGGTTTTTAAAGACATGAATGGCAGTCATAGACTGAATTGTACATGCTATCACAGTGCAGGTAAAATACAATGCAAGTATAAATAACAACATGAGATCAGGATAAATGGAATTAAATATAATGTGTACAAGCATTAATTCAAAATTTGCTAGGTAGTGAAATATATACGGAATTTAAAATGAACGATTAATATTGCCTCACTGTTAAAAATAACATTATATTGCACAGTTGTTAACGTAATTATAAGCTTGGATTTGCATAGTAAAAGTTTAACATACGCGTGAGATTGGGAAGAGCACTGATACAATGGCCTTTGTCTGCTCATGCGCAGATATCTATTTCCAAATCTCTTATCACTAACACTCTGCATGTTAGTACGATACTATAATTGAACAAGCTGACAGCCGTATACTGTAATGAAAGGGCAATTCAACACTCGTTATAACGCCCTTGGCCTTGGTATGAAAGAAGTAAAATAAAAGAAACAAAATGGTGAAAGTGTGAAATATTTTGAAATGTTTTCCTTTTATATCTTTTTTCCTACTCTTATATATTGCGACATGATTTTCATTCATCGGAAATGGCCAAACAATAGTTTAGAAGAAAAAACACAAATATACAGATATAACAAAATATAGAGAATTAAAGAGAGAGAGAGAGAGAGAGGGGGGGAGAGAGGGAGAGAGAGAGCTGTTAATGTGGTTATGCTTCTTAAATGCATGCTCTTATGCTGTATCGTTATTTCTCTCTTTTTTCAAGTCGATCTGTGTGATTTACAGGGAACCTGGTACAACGAAATCAACGATAAATTGATCATCGTGCAGACATCTACTGGCATGCTTTTGGGAGACTACATGACGTATGTCGAGCAGCTTACTGGCATGGCAGGTTAGTTTATATTATATAGTACAAGCCTTTGTCTATTTTTTTTGTGCCACTTAGTACATTATCAAGACGAGGGTATTCTTAACACTGGATCTGAATTTATTTCCAAATTTCTATAATTGTAAAACGTCTACAAGGAGATGATTAAAACAGGTTGCCATGGAGTTTAATGATTAAGACCAGGACAATGTCTACAAAACGGTAGCGATTACTCGCAATTTATTTGCGATTGATATCAATCACAACTAATACTAAGACAGGGCCCACAGATATTCATACCCTTCGTAACACATGGCGAAATCCTTCTGTTAATTGGTACCTAGTTCTGGACTCTTTTTATTGATTCTTAAGATCCAAAGGGTCAAATCTTCCCCGCCCTTTGAGAACTCATATAATGTTCGGAGATCTCTTCAGGTCCTAAGCATTGGCTGTATTTCAGCGTGTTGTAATTGATAATTACCATTAGTTCCAAGTTTTCCAAGCATTGAATTTTGATGAAATTGTCCAATCAAAGTTTTCACCTTTGCAATAATGATAATAAAAGTTTTTTTTTTACAATCTTCGCACAGCTGCTTTAGGCTCGCCGCACACTGCGATCCAATTTTCGAAGAAATAACAATAGTTAGATATAGAAATATATTACAACAAACATCATCTTCCTGACTAAGGTTCTGAATAATGATAAGAATAGTAACAACCGAAGTTTTAGTGCACTTAACACTTCTAGTTAAAATGAAATACGGATCGGCTTCAAATCGTAGGTGATCGCACGACCGGTCTGACATCACTACGATTCTGAGCCAATTTAGCTTTCTCTCCTCAAGTTAACCCCTGAAATTTAGATTTGTATTACTCATTACTCCTCGGTCATTGAGATTGAAATGTTCATATCAAATGCTATTGCCAGTTCTTCCTAAATCGGACCGTAGACAGATCATATAGTGTGCGTTGGGTTTTAGGCGATAGCTTTCTTCATGCATTATGTTTGTGAATCTTTCGTGTTATTGATAATTTGCGTATATTTTCCCTATTGCCATTTCTGCAGCCTCCACCGTTGCTCTGGGGTATGCGGGGCTAAACCCTACTAACCCAACGTTCGGCTTTACCGTGGTCCGATGGGAAGGCCAATCAACAACCAGCTGGACCGGACAGTGCCAGATCTGTGATCAGCAGGAAGTCCTTTACTCAACCTGGATCAACATTCTATCCGTCAATACGTGTTTCGAAGTCAGGGAAGCAACAAAGTAAGTTGATGTTTCTCTCTTTGAAATTTATACTAACCACGATCGCAAAAGTGACAAGTAATAATAATAATAATATTCGGTTATTGTGTAGCTCATATCACATTATATTGCCTCTATGCGCTTCCAAAGAGCTTTGAAAATTATTATTAGTATATTTGTAAAGCGCTCAGAGTTGTGATAAGCGCTTTTTATAAAAACTAAAATATTATTATTATTATTATTATTAGTAGTAGTAGTAGTAGTAGTAGTAGTAGTACCCCCAGACAACTACCCCCCCCCCCTGACAACTACCCCCGGATAACGACCCCCTAGGTCAACTATCCCCCGGACAACTACCCCCGGACAACTAGCCCCAGACAACTACCCCCTACGACAACCATCCTCTACGACAACTACGCCCGGAAAACTATCCTAGGGGGTAGTTGTCTGGGGAGTAGTTGTCCTACGGGGTAGTTGTCCGGGGGTAGTTGTCTGGGGGTAGTTGTCCTGGGGGGTAGTCGTCCTAGAGGGTGGTTTCCCTAGGGGATAGTTGTCCTAGGGGGTAGTTGACTGGGGCTGTTTATCCGGGGTGGATGTCCAGTGGGTAGGTGTCCAGATACGGTCATTTTGATCGCATATTACTTGCGCTGAATATGTAATGATGATGATGTAACACACCGTGTTCTCTTTCTCTCCCATTCCCCGTCGCTTTCTCTCTCTCTCTCTCTCTCTCTCTCTCTCTCTATTTCTCTCTCAATTTCTACCCTCTCCCCAATTTCTCTATATGTTTCTCTCTCTCTCTCTCTCTCTCTCTGTCTCTCTTTGTCTCTCTGTCTCTCTCTTTATTCCATTATATTTCCTTCTGTGTAGAATCGGGCAGGACAAATGGACTCGATACATGCAAAGCACAGCACCTTCGAACAGCACTGTTTGAATTATGTAGACCTTTCGGACGAAGGAGAATGTTTACTTCATCTTACTTCAGCTCGTATCATAGGATAATACGGAAAGTAGAAGATTGGTATCAACCAATAAATTTCAAAATGTCGTCTTTTTGTGAAGGCAATTCTAAATCTGCTGGTTTGTGGTTTAGCTTTGATCGTACGTAAATATAAATACTTTTAGATTTTACCGTAGCTTATGTTATGTTTTTGGTTATAATAAGAGGGATTATATCTATATTTGTTATTTGTTATAAAATGTTTCCCTATTTGTACTTTTTGTGTCGTTTTAGAGGATAGTAATATACACGATACTGGTATAAAAGCATTCTATTTGGAAGGGTGTTGTGGTTTCATTTTTGTTCTCTATGTGTGCTTACAATATTACTTCAGTACGCATACCTGTAATAAGAGAGAAAAGAATTCGGGATGGTAAACATAATGATCCATATTCTACTACAATTTTAACAAAGAAATTTAGTATGAGGTCTAAGTTTTCCTTCTGTTAAACGTGATTTTCGACCCTGGGTCGGGTTGAACTGAATTAGTAGAATACGGAACAATTTATTGTTTTTTTCGTAGAGAAATAGGCATATAGGCCTAAAGCGTATATATATTTGGTATTTTCTAAGATAAAATATCATCGTATTGTACATATTTCATTGGTGCGTTTTTACAATTGTAATATTTGTTTTTAGATACATTTAACATGCAGCTAAAGGGTGGTATTCTCATAAGTTAAGCCGGGACTAAGTCCAGACTAAACAAGAATTTTAGTTCACACTTCTATGGAATGCTAGGTTTCATCTTCCTCCTTCAATATTCATGACAAAGATAATCTACCAAAAACTTTGTTGAAATTCAGTTCATACTCATATTATCTTTTTCTTCCCATTTCATCGCAAAATTAATTTTTTGAAAACTCTTCATTGAAGGATTAAAATAATCTGTACAGGGTAAATTAGTTTGCAACAGGCACTCCATAGAAGTGTGAATTAACTAAGTATGCGCTAACTTAGTACGCGCTACCGGAATACCACCCAATGAGTCTATACGAGTATATCTTATAAATTGATTATTTTTACTACGTCTATCTTTCAGAAGATGTTTAACCATTACAACTGCGCTGGCACAAATACATATTTTTTTTTACTGCCCTATAATATTAAAAGAACATCAGGTGTCGAATAATAGTATTGTGAATTACCATGTAAAATTTAATTGGGGACCAATGGCTTTTCAGACTCCCTCTGCTTATACGTCCTTTAGGATTATAATGGGGACATTACCCCCCCCCCCCGACCCCTCTCATTCTCAATCTCCTCCACCCTCTCCTTCTCCATCCCCTCCCCGACGACTAAAAGAACAAATTAATATTCTAGGTTTTATTTTTTCACATGTACGTCCCATAACATTTTCACTGTTTAGGATGTACCATCCTTTGAGAAAAAGAAGACTTGAACTTTGCTGCAGTATCTATTCAGGTATATAATATTGTCAGGTTTATATCTTGCATTATACTACCTTTTTGTTTAAGCTCTTAAATTGGGTAATTTCTTTTAAAGAACTTAATGCATAAACCGTTGTGTTTATTTTGAAAATTGTTTATAATTCTCAGTAATGGTAGGATTGTAATTAAAGAGTAGAAATTGGTAATAACTGACATCCTTTGTGTTGTTTATATTTTTTTTTCTTTATATGTATGTCCGTTTCTCTTTCTCATAACTCTCCCTCCCTCTGTCTATGTATGTCTGTGTATGTCTATCTGTTTGTCTATGTTTGTCTATGTAGGTCTTGTATGTTGTCTATGTATGTATGTATGTCTATGTACGTATATGCATATGTCTGTGTGTGTCTGTGTACGTCTGTATGTCTATGTATGTCGTCTTCTTCTCGTCTCTCTACTTCTCCCTCTATTTGTCTCTCTTTCACTCTGAACAAAATATAAGTATTCCAATTGTCCTCGCTCCTCTCCCAGAATAAAAAATCATGGAAAAGAGTAACATATATAGCGGAAGAAAAAACATGTCAAAAATATTGCTATTTCCAGAAAACTAACAAGTTTTAAACTGCCAAAAAAACTTAGTATTAGCATGAAGAAATTGGATTAGGCCTACATTATCATTGGCTGCTCACATAAAGGCCATTATTGCCACATACTACACATAGCATTTGCGGCTTTCATGCGGGCAGCAGACGATATAATGTTTTTGAGGTTTTAGTTAGCTTTAAATATTTGTAAAACAAAAAAAAAATCAATAAGGGGGGGGGGATTAAACATTTTATGCAGTACGCTTTCATAAGGAGACAAGTTATGATATCGTCATGAAATACAAATCAAGTCGGCTTATACGCCATTTTTACTTCATTACCTTTTCTATATAACTCGGGGATAAGGAGAGTAAGATGGGTCCTATCCACGTCTCTCTTCCTCTCTCTCTCTCTCTCTCTCTCTCTGCCCTCGCTCTCTTCATCTCCCCTCTCTCTCTCTCTCTCTTCATCTCCCCCTCTCTCTCTCTCTCTCTCTCTCTCTCTCCCCCCTCTCTCTCTCTCTTCATCTCCCATCTCCCATCTCCCACTCTCTCTCTCTTCATCTCCCCTCTCTCTTCATCTCCCTCTACCTAGTATTATATTCACTGTTCATGTACATTATTCCAGTGTTTAGCTTTCAGGAATGCTAAATCCAATTTACCATTCACATATCTTCCTATTTACACGAAAACTGATGAAATGTTTTAATATTTGGTCTTCGCAGCATTTTATTTTAAAAAACGAATGATAAAAAATGTTTAAAAACAAGGCAGTGCTTACAGTCAGACATATTCACATTTTGTTTCCAAGACCGTTAATTATTTAATACAAAATTTATTTGATCAATGATCCTATTAAAAACATGACGCATTAATACTATAAAAAGTGATATAATATGAAAAAACAAAAAGGTATTAATATATTGTATGATAAAACCAGGTTGGAATCAGAACAAGCTATACGAATAATGAGAATAACTAGGAAACTAAAATTTGAAGAAATACTGATTTGGTGAAATGTTTAACCGCCATGAATATGCTTGTCGTTACTTATTCAATACTTCATAACATACATTTGTAAAACTTTTGTACAGCTATAATCTCAGGATAAAAATAGTTTTTCAATCTATGATAACTGCAAAAATCTCATGTGACTCATTGACATTTGTTTAAAATACTTTAAAAAGTGCAAAGATTCGATAAAAGTTAGTACTAGTACTTTTTTCAAACAAATTTACAAGACGAGTACTAGATGTTATTCATGTTACAATATTAATGTAGTTAAATTGCCTATGCATCAGGCTGAGGTGCGATGCTCTGTTCATAACGCGTCCATTTGTCCTGGCCAACCCTACAGAATTCAAGATAAAAAGCGAAAATGAGGTTAAGTACTGATGTCACATATTTTTGATATTAAAACAAAAAGAAAATGGGAGTGAGGCTTTGCATATTTTTTATTTGCCCTTGTTAGGTATTGCACAGTATATAGGATTATGGGTGTTGCCGCATTTGGCTTCATTGTCAGTGTGTGGATGATATATTTCAGCCTTGACAATTCATCACTACACGTTTAACAGGTCAAATGGAATACTTGGAAATATTGACAATGAATCCAAAGGGTTATAAGTTCAGGGAGACAAAGATAGAGAGAGAGAGAGAGAGAGAGAGAGAGAGACATAGATAAGATAGAAAGGTGAAAGGGGCAGCCGAGGAAGGAAGGAGAGAGAGAGAGAGAGGAGAGAGAGAGGGAGAGAGAGAGGGAGAGAGAGAGAGAGAGAGAGAGGAAGAGAGAAACCGTCAGAGAGGGAGAGAGAAAGAGGAAGAGAGAAACCGTCAAAGAGAGAGAGACATAGATAAGATAGAAAGGTGGAAGAGGCAGCCGAGGAAGGAAGGGAGAGGGAGAGAGAGAGAGTGAGGAAGAGAGAAACCGTCAGAGAGAGAGAGAGAGACATAGATAAGATAGAAAGGTGGAAGGGGCAGCCGAGGAAGAAAGGGAGAGGGAGAGAAAGAGACAAAGAGAGGGAGAGTCATTCAGAGAGAGAGAGAGAGAGAGAGACAAAGATAAGATAGAAAGGTGGAAGGGGCAGCCGAGGAAGGAAGGGAGAGGGAGAGAGAGAGAGAGGAAGAGAGAAACCGTCAGAGAGAGTCAAAGAGAGGGAGAGTCATTCAGAAAGAGAGAGAGAGAGAGAGAGAGAGAGAGAGACATAGATACGATAGAAAGGTAGAAGGGGCAGCCGAGGAAGGAAGAGGTACTCAAATTTTCAATGTATTTTTAACATTTTGGTAATTAAGGATTGAAGGAAAGAATGATTTACTGACTAGTGAATGAATGAATCAATGTATGGATACATGAATTCATTCATGAATTCATTCATGAATTCATTCATGTATGAATGAATGAATGCATACGTGAAAGCACAAATAAATATATGAATATTGGAATGATTCGATGAAAGAATGAATGAATATACTCACATGTTTGATTTCTTGATGTCCTGGCAGGTGCTGACCATGTTGGTGTTGATCCAGGTGGTGTAGAGAACCTCTTCACCGTCACATAGATGGCACTGACCGGTCCAACTGGTAGTAGACTGACCATTGTCACGGACCACCGTGAAACCGAAAGATGGGAAGTCATAGTTGTTGCTGGCGTAACCGACCACGACGGTTGGGGCTGAATAAAAAGTATTATCAAATAGCAATTGAATTAAAATACAAAGGAAAGGGTAATTTCATGCATGCATAAAGGTCAATAACAGTCTTTATCTCTCAATCGCTTTTATGATTTAATTGAAATCAGACTTTGATAGATAGGCCTACTAATATTTGTTTTGCATTTAACGTGTCGAGAGGTAAGCAGGTCAATGGCCATTCATAGTCCCAATCATGTATACTACCAACATGATGCGCGGGAGGATTTGCGGGGGGGGGGGGCAATAATCGGATACTGCCCCCTTGAAACCCAAGTAGCATTACTGGATTCCTTGCGTTCCAAATGACATTTATATATCATTTTTCAGCCCCCCCCCCCCCCTTAAAAAAATCAAAACAAATCCTGGATCCGCCCCTGTGTACGATGGGATTTATATTTACCTGCGTATCCGAGGGCACGTTCATTGTAAGTCATGTAATCTCCAAGCATCATTCCTGTAGAGGTCTTGGTGATGGTGACCTGATCATTGCACTCGTTGTACCACATACCCTCCAAGTCGCAGAAACCAACTACGAGAGAAGAAAAACAAATCATGAATAACATTTACACATATATTTGGGCGATCGCCGATTCACTCCTTATGACGATTAACCAATCTGTTTGGAGTGTTGGATGCCTATCTTTGCATTTATTACCCGGTTTATTCGTCCTTTCAAAGACATCACCCACGCAGGA